TAGGGTTTAGGGTTTAGGGTTTAGGGTTTAGGGTTTAGGGGGGACTTGTCACTTAGGGGTTTATAGGGTCTTAGGGAACTTGATTGAAACTGCACTCGGATGGTCCTTAAAACCCTCTGAGAAGATTGCATAGTATGAATGGTCCTCTTGAACCCAATAAGGGACCATGCCAAATGTCCCCAAAGGCCCACTTGGCACACTTGAGGGTTCTTAATGTGAGCTATGGAACATTTTTTCCTTGCTCAAGGGCACCCTAAACCCTAAACCCTGAACCCTAAACCCTAAACCCTAAACCCTAAACCCTGAACCCTAAACTCCCGACTGGTTGGCCTCCAGGATGCCTTCACGGAAGCCTCGCGGCATGTTGTGTCAGTTTGTTGCGCGGAGTCGTAGGAGAAGTTCTCCGACTATTCCCATGCTTGAAACCCGGTAACCTCTAGAACCCTGAACCCTCAGGGTTTAGGGTTTAGGGTTTAGGGTTTAGGGTTTAGGGTTTAGGGTTTAGGGTTTAGGGTTTAGGGATTAGGGATTAGGGTTCAGGGTAAGAACCACTTGGTTTGGGCTTTGGGCTCTTTTGGGGCGGCGGAGGGGTTGCTCTAGGTAAAGGTCGCCTGCGCAAGTAACGTTGTTAATCGGGTCCCTTCTAACGAGGTCCCCATGCTGGACCTTTTTGGGCTTAGGGCTTGGGGGTGTAGGGTTTAGGGTTTAGGGCTTAGGGTTTAGGGTTTAGGGCTTAGGGTTTAGGGTTTAGGGTTTAGGGTTTAGGGCTTAGGGCTTAGGGCTTAGATTTAGACAAACTTAGAACCTTAGACCCTAAACCCGTGGGCTGCCAAGAAAAGTTGGGCCCCCCCCATGCGCGCTGCCTCAGCTGGACACACCAGCCCTACTTTGGAGTTGAGGGTTTAGTTTTTAGGGTTTAGGGGTTCAGGGTTTAGGGGTCTAGGGTTTACCTTGGAAAAAAGTATAAACTTTTTGGGTATAAGTAGCACAATCGGAACCCAGAACCCAAAAAAGGTGTTAAAGTATAGTACTCCAAAACCCAGGCCAGTCTCCAGGGCAGGTGGAAGCAGTTTGTGTGATTTGCGGGTTTTCCTTTTTTGTAGGGTGTAGGGTTTGAGTCTAGGGCTCAGGGCTGGGGGCTTAGAGCTTCGGGCTTAGGGCTGAGGGCTTAAGGCTTAGGGCTTAGGGTTTAGGGTTTAGGGTTTAGGGATTAGGGTTCGGGGCTTCAAGGGCGAATGGTTCAAGGGCTTATGGGTCGGAGCGTGTAAGGGCTTAAGGGCTGAAGGGTTGGAGGGTGTAGGAATTTCAGGGTTTAAGGGGTTAAGGCGCGAGAGTTTATAGCAACCCCCCAGAAAGGACCTCCCCACCGATCCTCACCAGGATTCAGAAGGAACCATATACACACTCCCCAATAACAGACTAAACCCTAAACCCTAAACCCTAAACCCTAAACCCCAAACCCTAAACCCTAAACCCTAAACTCTAAACCCTACCCGGCTTGCATAGCTTCGGCCCTAGGCTTGCAGAGTAGTATAGAGTTCTTAAGGGAGGGGGTTTAAGGAGTTTAGGGTTTAGGGTTTAGGGTTTAGGGTTTAGGGTTTAGGGTTTAGGGTTTAGGGTTGAGGGTTGAGGGTTGAGGGTTTAGGGTGAACCCAGAATTCCCTAATACTCCCCACTACTTCCTAAGGTACCTACCCATGCAACCGCCTCCCTGCCACAAACAGACTAGGCGTGCCGAAAATGTGCGCTGTAGGAAGCAACCTGGGAGAAAGTACCAAATTCCAGAAAAGACTCCTAAACCCTAACACTCCTCCCCTCAACGCCGAACATCACCCTAAACCCCAAAAAACCCTAAACCTAAACCCTCAACCCAACCCTGAACCCTCAACCCTAAACCCTCAACCCTAAACCCTCAACCCTCAACCCTAAACCCTACACCAGATCCAGCCTGCAAACTGCATTGGGTAGCCAAAGAGGGTGGAGACTCCCAGCGCAAGACGTGCCCCAGCCTGTCACTCCCAAAGCCCAAAGGTTTAGGGTTTAGGGTTTAGGGTTTAGGGTTTAGGGTTTAGGGTTTAGGGTTTAGGGTTTAGGGTTTAGGGTTTAGGGTTTAGGGTTTAGGGTTTCGGGTTTAGGGTTTGGGGTTTGGGGTTTGGGGTTTGGGGTTTGGGGTTTGGGGTTTGGGGTTTGGGGTTTAGGTTTAGGGTTTAGGGTTTAGGGTTTAGGGTTTAGGTTTTAGGGTTTAGGGTTCAGGGATTTGGTAAAACCTTAACCCCTAAGCTCTGGGCCCCTCCAGCAGCTTAACAGTACGAGTGAGTGTGTGTGTGTGCGTATATACGTATATACCTGCATACAGACCTACATTACATACGTACATTGCATACCTTACATACATCACATTCACTCACTCGGCGTCAAACCCAAAGATAGGGAGGGCGGCTACGGTACATACATTACTTAAATGACATGCATTACATACGTTACATACATTGCAGTCAGAAGGCACCGGCACAATCTTCTCCTGGGTTTGCTGCACACCCGCAGTGGAAGTCGACTTGCAAATCAATGTCTCCAATTCCATGATGCTCTTCTTGACTTGCCCTTCCTCAAGCTTTAGGTCAGTGAGTGCCAGCTGAACATCCGCTTTCCTCTCCTACACATGCTTCAAGCACTGCCGCATGAACATCAACCTTTCCATGCGATGCAGGTTCGAAAGCAACTGGCCCTCGGAAGTTTCGATGCGGATGCTTGCCCTCACAATCGACTGTGACCCCGAACTTATGGGTTTGGTGGAGGCCCAGTATGAGAATGGCGCCATGGGCGATGAGACCCTGCTACACTTCACGCGTTTAGCCCTATAGGGTTGAAACCCTATTGTGTTTAAGGTTCATCCCCTGGGAACCTATAATCCCCGCAAGACTTTTCTGGGAATCTTGCTTCTTGGTTCTTGGTTCCAGCCGTGTTAATTAACACTGGGCCAGTGTTAATAAACACTGTCCCAGGCTCAGAAAACCAAGTTATGAAGCTTTATGTCCTTGAGGATGGGTTCTGGGGGGGGAGGGGTACCATATACATATATATGTATATACACACACACATACATACCCGAAATCCGCACACAGATCACGTGTGCACACCATTCTCAGAGAAGAGGTGTCGATCTGAGTGGGGGAACACAGGCATGTGTATATATATATATATATACATGAATGCATGCATGCATGCATGCATGCATGTACATACACATATGTATGGGTTATGCGCTTGGGAAGCAAAAAAACCGAAACGAAGGGCCGCCTATAAGGTGTATCCCTATGTTGGGCACATTACGGCCCGCACATGCACACAAACACAAACGCGGGAATCAACTCAACGTACCTTTATGGGATTCATGTTGTCGTTGAGGAGTTCGGGTTTGTGTGGCTGTGTTGGGTTCAGCTCAAGTGCACCCTACACTCTACACCCTACTGTCGGTTGAGGGCCCGAAGACTGCGGCATTGGGGTTTAGGCTTTAGGGTTTAGGGTTTAGGGTTTAGGGTTTAGGGTTTAGGCTTTAGGGTCTAGGGTTTAGGGTTCAGGGTTTAGGGTTTGGGGCTTAGGTTTACTTGCCAGGCTTAAAATAAGGTTTTGGGAACCGAAAATCAAGTCCCGGAGGCTTAAAATAAGGGTTTGGGCACCTCAAATTAAGGCCCGGAGGGGTAACACAGGGATTATTCATTATGCTCAATCATTTTTGGGGGGCTCTGAAGCAAATATTAGCTGCACATCTTTCATTTTTAGGGGGGAGCTCTTAAGCAAACATTAGCTACATCCGTACAAGGTCTGCATGTGACCCCGTCAGTCCGAGACAAGGACGGCCCATGGGTCCAAAGTGTCGTAGTTCAGCAGAACATTCCCGCTCACCGCCTTGCACCCAACTGTTAGGGTTTGAGTTTGGGGTTTAGGGTTTAGGGTTTAGGGTTTGGGGTTTAGGATTTGGGGTTTAGGGCTAATGTTTAGGGTTTAGGGTATAGAGTATAGGATGTAGGGCATGGGGTTTGAGGTTTAGGGTTCACCCTAAACCCCAAACCCCAAACCCTAAGCCTTAAACCCTACCCCTAGACCCTAAACCCCAAAAACCCTAAGACCTCCCCCAAACCCTGTAAACGCCGAAGAACAAAGCCCCCAAGGTGCCAGAGACTGCAGAACCCAAAGACCCAAGGGTTCCCATCGCTCACTAGAACAGCGCTAGGGTTCAAAATTTCGGATCTAGGGGTTTGGGGCTAACCCTACACCCTACATCCTACACCCTACACCCTACACCCTAAACCCTAAACCCTAAACCCTAAATCCTGGGGTTTAGGGTTTAGGGTTCAGGGTTTAGGGTTCATGGTTTGGAGGTCCTGGGCTCACGCAGCAAAGCTGGGACAGATCTCGAACTTTCCCCCCGTATGCAGGGTTTAGGGTTTAGGGTTTAGGGTGTAGGGAACCCCAAGAGCCTCAGTTGAGCAACTTACAAGAGATTTAGGCTTAGGTTTAAGGGGTTTAGGGTTTAGGGCTTAGGGCTTAGGTTTTGAGGGGTTTGATGGTTTTAGCTTGATTAGGGTTGAGGATAGTTAACCCAAAGCCTTAAAACACCCGAACATAAGTGAACATGGGTGTTGCTGCGGGCACCTGTTTTTTCCGGACAAGTTTCAGAGCCAACAAGAGCAATGTATCTCCAAGGGGCAGATGGAGAATTCTCTGCTCATTTCGAGTGAGACCTGCTGCGGACAGTTCTTGTCCCAGCCGACGGAAAGTGCATGCCTGCCAGGCGTAGACCGGCGCGCGCCATGAAAAAAACGCAAAGGAGGAGCGGCCCTAAACCCTAAACCCTAAACCCTAAACCCTGAACCCTAAACCCTAAACCCTAAACCCTGAACCCTAAACCCTAAACCCTAAACCCTAAACCCTAAACGAAACTCCCCCTCTGGCTCTGGCCTGCATGCCGGCAGATGCTGCACGTGTGAAATAAGAGACTCTCAGTCCTCATAGACTTGCGAGGACATGGTTTCCTGAATGAGCTGCTCCAGCATTGCCGCTGTCTTTGGGTCCTTGACTGCTTGAACAAGGCTAGGCAGCGACATCCAGCAAGGGGGCTCCACTGGCTTGGGCTGCACAGGCGAAGGCATTGATGGTGATATCTTGCATGCGGCCTGCACGTAGTTGATGAAGAGCTCCTCAACGACCTGGCGCGAGAAAGCCGGGGTCACCACGACCTTGAGGCTCTGCGCGTTTGCGAAGAGCACTGCGCGCTGAAACATCTTCCCCGACCGTGCGACCACGCACATGCAGACGTCGCAAGGCTGCCGGCTCTTTCTGAGCCCGTGAATGATGGGCTTCGTTTCTCGCCAGTCTGCGACGATCAGAAGGGCACCACTCCTGCCATCTTGCTCCCGCCAGGAGAGAAAGCCCGACCCTTTCTTGTGGCAAACGAACTTGCAGCCCAGCACGGCGGCAAGGTGCTGCAACTCTTTGTGTACCTCACGGTGTTCAGGCTTCCGGTAATGTTCGAAGCACCACACAAGCCACGCATCAACTTCAGCCGGGCCATCAACTTTCGGTGTAGCCATGGTAGCTGTGCTGAAGCGGAGGAAAAAGCTGTCTTGGGCACAGAAGCCTGCTTGGACCCTGCATCCTTGAACTCCTTCTCAACTTCCCACGTCTAAGGCTTCACGAAAGGAGAGCTTCAGGAAGGGACTTCCCAGCAAGGGCATTTGGTTTAGGATTTAGCGCCTGGAAGGTTTCAAGGCTTCTGCAAGGGCAGCCCTGAACCCCAAATCGATGGAAGTGGAAAGCTACCCAGCTGCAACCCTAAACCCTAAACCCGAAACCCTAAACCCTAAACCCTAAACCCTAAGCCTGTCCAAGAATAGACCATTCGACTCGTGGTGCCATCGACTCAGTTGTGTGGAGGTTCGGCTTTCCGTGGTTTCATGGTGTCTTACTTGGAGGTTCATGGTACTTAATAACCCAATAATAACTGTACTTATAGCAAAATAACCATATTAGGGCACTTAAGGGGCTTTTAAGTGGGTTAAGAGTACCATGAACCTCCAAGTACGGTGCTATTCTCGGCACCCAAGAAGCCCAGAGCCCTCGAAACCCTAACCTCTAAACCCCAAACCCCAAACCCAAAAAAAACCCAAAGCTTCCAAATCCTCCAAAATCAGGGCCTTGCCGAAGGTTAGGAAGCCAAAGGCCATGACCAGAGCCTCAGGAGGGTTATGGGGTTTAGGGCTTGGGGTTTACCCTAAACCAAACCCTAACCCGAAACCCTAAACCCTAATTAAGCCCTTGGGCGATTCTTTGAAGAAGGGTTTACCGCTATCCGCAGCCTTGGGGGAAGGTCGAGTGTCCTAAGCGGTTTAAGGTTTAGGGTCCAGGGGCTTAGGGTTTAGGGTTTAGGGTTGAGGGTTGAGGGTTGAGGGTTGAAGGGTTGAAGGGTTGAAGGGTTGTGAAGGGTTGAGGTTAGTAACAGGCGCTCTTCGTAGGGGTGTCTACACCTGGAGGTTCATGGGTACTTATAGCCCCGATTGTCAGTCTACTTGTAACCTACTTGGGGGAGTTGGGGGGGGCTCTGAAGTGCAGTTGGGTTTACACGCACCCAGGAACCTCCAAGTAGAGACAACTGGCTATCATCGTCATGTGAGGTACGTAGTTCTAACCCTACTTTTAACTTTTAACTACACGTGACCCTTCACGTACATCGTTAAGAACCCCAGGGCATGGGCTGTAGGGATTTAGGGCTTTACGGCGTCGGGTTTAAGGCTTAGTTTAGGGTTTCAGGGCTGAGGGTTAAGGGAGGGTTTTGTAGGTTTGGGGGATCTGGGGAGTTTTTTGGTTTAGGGCTGGGATTTGAAGTGTTTACCCCAGTGGCTTCGGGCGCCTGAAACAGTTCACGGGAAGGGCGAGGCCTTAGGCTTTACACGGCCTTGTCTGGGGCTTCCAGGAACCGACGCGCCGCGGCGAAACAGCGAGGTCGCGCATCGGCTCCCTGCTTTCGCAACTCGCCCACTGTGCTGCGCATCTGCGCATTGCCTGGGCGACTGCAAAATCATCCAGGAAGCCAGTCAACGTGGCAACCCACTGCAGCGGCTGCCTCTGCAAGTGGCATAAAGCGTTTTCAGCTACCATGGCTTGATGGTCCTTGTGAAGCTTCCTTGCGCGAGCCTTGCGCTGTACATCTCCGCACTCTCGAGGCGGAGTGCTCGACTGCAAAGTTCTCTAAAGTCTCAAAAGTTCTCTGAGGTTGAGGGTTTCGGGTTTTGGGTTTAGGGTTGAAAACCTGCAAAAATCTGCTAAAACACAAAGCCCTAAACCCTAAAGCCCTTAAACGCCCGAAGAAGAGCCCAGAAGCCCCCCCCAACCCCAACCCCGCCGACCCTCCTGGAGGCGTAGCCCGGGTGACTCGGGCGTGGGAGTTCGGGAGTTCGGGTTCGAGGGACCCAAACCCTAAACCCGAAATCCGAAACCCGAAACCCTAAACCCTGAACCATATGGGGATTTAGGCATTTAGTGCTAGCCCAATTTGGGCCGGCTGCGTACTGAAGGGAGGCGATACCAAAGCCTCTGCAAGCAGATGTTGCAGGGTTTGGGAAGCTCCGAAAACCTCCACTGAAGAAGGCTTCTGGTTTAGGGTTTCGGGCTAGGGCTTAGGGCTTAGGGCTTAGGGCTTAGGGCTTAGGGCTTAGGGCTTAGGGCTTAGGGTTCAGGGTTTAGGGTTCAGGGTTTAGGGTTTAGGGTTTAGGGTTTAGGGTTTAGGACTTAGTTTGGGATCTTCGGGTCTAGGTGGTTTTGCAGATTCTTACTGCGACCTAAGTTTACAATGACTTAGAAAAACTTAGAATGTGACTGTGCATTTAGGGTTTTTTTAAGAAACCCTTTTAGGGTTTAGGGTTTTTTAACGTTAAGAAACCCTTTTAGGGTTTAGGGTTTTTTAACGTTAAAAAAAACCCTAATTACGCACAGCAGTCCAGTTGGACCCGCACCGAAGCCTCGACCCTGAACCCTTAGTCAGTCTTGCGAAAGGTTTAGGGTTTAGGGTTTAGGGTTTAGGGTTTAGGGTTTAGG